GGTAACCTTCGGCAAACACAAAGCGTGAGGTACCGCGTTGGTTTTGCTTTCCAGCTCTATACTGGCCAATGAAACTCTTTGTCTCTGCTGTTCCCTTTCGTATTACGGCGTTTAAATCTTCTTTGGCGATTGTGCGTATGAATGTAATTTCACGCCACCCATTCCACTGCTGAACCTCTTCATCGTCCTCTTGTTGTGCTTGGCTGTAAACTTCAATTATCTTTGGTGATGTTTTCTTGTGCACTTACGGAAGCAGTGCGGCGACGGCGACTGAATGCTACAGTACTCTTGTTTATGATGAGTTCCACACCGCCTTTGTGAGTCTCCGGTTTTCTTACTTTCATAAAAAATATTTGGTCAGTTTTGTTTCATGTGCGATTATTTCAGCCGAGAACATTTGCTTTGATCTTCTTTTCGTCTCTGTGATGCAGATGTAGACGATTGCATTTAAGAACAGAGTTCTCAAACTGGTGTTTTCCCCAGTTTTCCAGAAATTCCATTTCTCCGCAACCTGATGCGGTAGCCGTCACTTACGGTCTTGGTATTCATTCGGGCGTAATGTATTTTTGGTGAGTTTATAGCCCTCTCCTTCCGCATCATTTAATCAGCCCATCGATATCCATATGGAGGTGCCTGGTGAGCTCTTGGTCGAGATAAGTTTCACTGACCAGTTTCGGACCGCACCTACTCATCCCACAGCAGAGAGCTATTTGTGGCATCTCTAGCCGGCTTATCATGCTGAGGAACTTTCGATAGATCTGGGCGTCTGTAATGGATGATCCGAAGCTTATAAATTTTCTGAGGCCGAGATTAGCGATGTGAATGAGGATAAATTCCTTTTAAACAATATGCAGCATTTCAAATGAACTTACATCGGTCACAATTACCTATTCGCTGATGTTGAGCGACGTTTAAGCGATCAGAAAGTAGGGTCTCTCTGTCAGTCGGTTTCGATTTCAACTGATCTTTTACCTCGCGAAAGTAGCAAAGTTTGACAGTTTCTCCGACTCCCCCTCCCTCCATCTTATGCCAGCGTCTGAGCTTCGGCAGAAGAAATCCCAAATCTGGAGAGTAACATGGAGAGACATTGCCTCAGGTCATTTTTGACCTCCTCCCAGGGTCTGCGTCGCCCGGTCGGCCCAGAAAGCAGTAGATGTTTCACCCTTGTTTCTGAAAGCATTCACAAGGCATACTCAAACAGCTGCACCGTGACCCCTCAATGTGAAGAAGCGGCAGCTTCTTTATATCAAGACTTTTTTGGATATTTGAAATTTGGATACGTGAGCTCAGCCCTTCTTCTCACAAGGCTCATTTCATTTGCTTGTAGGAAAGCTCAACAGGTTTTCCATTTATAGTTCATGACTCATTATATGGTTGAACATTGGAATGAAAATTTATTTGAATATAAACAGCTTTCTTTGAATATGAACACTCAAATCCACTGTAATCTTCCATTTTCTACCACAAGGAAACAGAAGAGGTTACATTTGTAAAACTTCTCCTATTTTGAAGGGCAGCGTTTTAACAACAGAACATCAGTCATACGTTGCTGCAGCATGATGACACTGTGACAGGGACAAAGGAACAAAATTTATTTTTCTTCCGTTGTTCAAGAATTACATCAAGCCACTTCGCTACATGAAGCATTCGTTTTTTTAGAAAAGTAAACAAATTAAAATACGAGTATTACAACATTTGGCATTTATTTTGGCAAGAAACTTGTTCACCCAGTCGCTGAGCACAAGGTAAAATATAAAACACTTCTCGAGCAAATGCTCACTAGTTCGGTGTTAGTGAGTAGATTTCCAGGTGGCGAGAGAAGCGAAAACCGAGGTCAGGATCAAATAAACAGAATGACAGAATGAGAGATGTTAAGGCGTCCCTGTTGTGGCGTGTCATCGTGAAGTTTAGCAATGGCCATTTATAACGTCCGACTCTCTCGACGACTGCACACTCTCTGAGGTGGACTTTAGGATCGAAGGAAGGCAAAATGTCATTTATCGGCACGACCATGTTCAGCCGACGAAGACGTTTTCCCGAGTGAACAGCAGCAATTGGCAGCAAAGGATGAAAAGCGATGAACTCAGCGTCCTCCTGAGTGATAGATTTGGTCTACCTGAAATTATATCATTAGATTTCGTTGCGAAAAAGGAGCAAATTTCAAGTAAAATACACATGAAACTCATATTCATCATTAGCAAACCATTTCTGTAAAAAAGCATTTGTTTACTATGAACATTAATCAGGTTTTATACCATTGCTTACCAAATAACGACGGCTTCTGGTACTTCTTTCCTTCATGTGGCAATGTTACGGCTTTTGCGACAGAGTCTGATGTGTTTTTGAAGACCAGTTTCTGGTTCTGTGTTGAGATATGGCGTTCGTTGAGGGTCGGTACTTTCGCGGAACGAGCTTCGCTGTCGTGCAACTCTATAAATGAACTGTAGCAAAAGTACAAATTGCGAATACTAGCTAGATGTTGAGTATTTCGTTCATGCGTGGTGACAATAGTGAAAGTTGCATAAAATACATAAATAATTTATTTGTACACAACGCAAATAACTGGGCATTTTGGATGATTAAGCAGTACCGATGCTCCTGCGGTCCTTCTGGCTTCTAACATAGAATCGCTGGCAACAGAGAGGAAAACTGTCAACGAACTTCTTACCTTGAAACAAGCTCGTGAGACAACAACCGAAACGTCGGTCGGTAATGGTTAATCGCCTGACTGACAAGTTCTTGACAAACAAACAAGTATGCTACTCTTTCCTCACATTGGTCCTTGCTCAACGCCCTCTTAGTAACACAGCCTTCCGCTGTGAAAACGTATTCATACTTAGAGCCAGTGAATCATTAGACCTTACTGTACAAATCGGTCCACTGGTACTCTATTGCTGTTATCTTTCAAATTCAGCCTACTAATAGTCAAATGGTTTCATTTGTTGGTTTTCATAACACTCAGTGCAAAAACTACAAACATTATTTTAGGGGCTGACGTTGTGTGTCGAATTGATCACATATATGTTTCAAATCATGCTCGATCCGTTTTCACGAAGGGATATTATTCAAATAAAGGAGACTACAGTATACACGGATACAGTCAGATAGTAACTAACTGCTTCAGATCGAGACTGCTAAGTCGGTAGTGCGTTGAACTCAGAACAGTTAGACCACAAGTTCATTCCCTGTTAGGGTCACTTGACCTTCCTCCTACCAAGGTTGATAAATGAGCATTCTGTGATAAGAAAACAGGAGACTACATGCCACGTTTGCCAAATGGCCATAGCCTCTGCGTTTAAATAACTAAGGCACTCTTGGCTGATGGCACAGAAACGGAAATCAGCACCTCACCATTAATTTCATAAAAAGGATGGCGTAAAAATGGCTCAATCATGAAAGTGAAGGAAGATAAACATTCCAACGTTGATTCAACTCTCATGTTTTCCTTTTTGATTGAATTGCCAGGGCTTTGTTAACATTCTCGCCCAGTTCATCACTTTTATCTGATCTTATAATATGCAGTGTCGTTTCAATACTGCAGATATTCCATTTGTTTTCACCCTGTCCCTTTTTGTATTTTAACATTTTGATGTAAATCAGCATTGCATATCATGTTAGTTCACTGCAGTGTTTTTTTAATCTCTTCTGTGGCGTTGCCCGTATCTCCTATGGACTCACAAGGTAGCATGTAGATTCCATCTTGATATTTGAATTTTGGCTCGGTGATTTTGGCATACACCAGCCGAATAATTTTTATGACCTAAAGACCAGGAATATTTCACGCTTAAGAGCAATCTCTGTAGCTTCTTGCTTAGACGCTGTGGATAATAATAGTTGTTCTAAATTTAAGTTATTCGCCTCTAGTCTTTAAACTCTCAGTTTCCTGTCCATTAGTAGTCTACGGTGGTTCCTTTCTCTGAGAAGTACCTGACTCTACCCGTTCATAGCGCTAAACTGTGATATTTATATCAAGTTTCTGCCTGAAGATAGATCGCGAGTGATCTTGAACATTGGGGTACATACATATTGCAAACTGGAAATGTGGTCTAATCTGTAACAGATATATTTTTAGCATTTAGGTGATTTCCCAACTTCGCGGTTGTCTGCCCCATGCCTGAATGATACAAGGAAAGGTTGAGAACCCTAGCGAGGATCCCGCAAAACTTAGGTACCTGAGCTTCATGGTATTCCCGGTATCTAAAGATATACCGGCTCGGTCGTCGCCGCGCTAACAAAGGTCTTACGGCCTGTTAAGGAGCTGACTGACTGCGAAAAGCCGATTAACAAATCCTGCTTTAAACCTTCTGGAAGATGGGGGGGGGGGCAAAGCAGCACGTCGACGGCTGCCGACGAAGGACACGAAGATTTCGAAGTAGACGACGATGCCAGTCATCGACATAACCGTCACCCGTTCTGAAAGGAAGAGGTAACAACCGCGATAGTAATGCAGAACGTCAGAGAGGTTTTCATGGAACGAAACTGACGGTGGGAGCTCACAGCTGAAAATTAGAACATTACTTCATTCATAGCGAAGCTTTATCAGCTAATCAACGATTCCGAAAAAAAAAAACAAAATCGAAATAGTTGGGCTCTCGTCAAGTCAACGAAGTGCTGAGACTCTGGAATTCTGAAACTCTGTGGGTTAGAGCTATTTTATTCATATTTCAACACAATTACCGCACACGGACAGGTGTTGGTGCTACGGTAGGGCCCAACGTAGCTGACCGAATCGATGAATGAAAACCTGTCAGCGGAAGAGTAGCAATCCTCCGACTGAAGCTACAATAGGCTAAAGCGTTGACCTTGCTATAAGTCTATGTGCCCAGTTTTGAGGGAGAATATGACTCCTTCCTTGAGGAAATGAAGTGTCCTTTGTAGGAAGTGCTGCATACGAAGTCCCTCATACTCATGGGCGATTTTAATGCACACGTCGGAGTAGACGCTGAAAAGTGGAACGGCGTGATTGCAAACAAGGCCCTAGCGACCTCAACAATCGCGGCATGAAGTTGTTGCGGTTATCCGACCGGCAGAATACCCAGGGGACGGTCAAGATTAACCTTGTGCAAATATATGGAAGGAATCTGTTCCAGACTCCAGCTATCTTCTGCCGAAGTTCAGACTCTGGCACAGGATCGGGAACGTTGGAAGGTCTGTCTGATTCGTCTGCCTCCGCAACCCGAAAGGAGAAGCGGCGATGGAAGATGAAGATGAAGAAGGTTGTTGCGGTTTTGTGCAAACATCAGACCGTCCATTATGAGCACCTTCTTCGAACATCGAGGAGTGCTTCCGTATGCCTGGTGAAGGGAAGGTTGGACACAGAATTCGATGACTGATTTGATAATGCTATCATCTGACTTACGAAGTTCTCTAAGGGATGTCAGACGTTACCACCTTATTGTTGACACCCTCCAATGTAAACGATGGAGTACAATATGTAAACCTGGCGGGAAAAGCAACCTGAAACTTAAATGGGAAGCATTACTTTCTGTGGGTAAGTGGAAAAAACATGCATGCAATATCACACGGCGGTTTGAACAGGTCCAAGTAATGACCGCTGGTGCGGAAACGAAGTAGAAACCCTTCATGAGCGAATTCTTGAGTTTTAAACGGGTTGGCCTGATTTGTGGGGGTCAGAAACTAACTTCCTTCAACCGGCTGTCAGCGAAAAGAGTGCAATGAGGAACTGGATTGGAAACAATAAACTTCAACTCAAATGGAGCACGAATAAGCGCGTGAGGCAACAGCAAAAGCGAAAGCTGATTCGTGGGAAAAGTGCGGTGAGGTGTTGGAGTTGAATTTCCAAAGGGTAAGCAAGGAAATCGCCTCCAACATGGAAAAAAGTACAGCCTGAGAATCGTTAATACACATCTGTACTACATGCATGAAAATATGTGTTGGCGCTGGAGAGAAGAACTACTCTGAGGAACCTCTTATGCTAGTAGAACCGCAGAAAGACTCACCTAGAGAGCATCAAGCAGCGAATATTGTTCTTTCAGTAAGTCTTTCAATGTCTGAAGCTGTAAAAGGTTATAAAATATCAACGATGGAGTTGATGAAATCCGCCCCAGATAATTGACCCTTTAGGTGGACAACGTATGTTTAGGCCATCACGAGTGGGCCAAACTGCGATGACGAAGGAAAGAAACCACTGGATTGGAGAACGGGGTAGTGGTATCGCTGTTTAAGAAGGGAGGCCATATAGACTGCTCTGAACATTAGGGTCTTACCTCATTGAGCCTCCAGAGAAAAGTCTACACAAAGGTGTTAAAAACAAGGTGCCCTGGAATAGATTGTTCTAAGATCCAAGAAAAGTAGTGCGGTTTCAGGTCAGGCGAAAGTACTTGTGATCAGAACTTCACCTTATGCAAGAAAGTTGATAAATCGCTGGAGTTCGCTTCTCCGATTTACACATGCTTTGATGACCTGAACAGTGCCTTTGATAAGATCCCTCGCAACAAACTGTGGACGTCCTTGCAGGCACATGTGATCAATGGTACCACTTTCTCTAAGCCATACAGTCATTATGTGTTGATAAGAAGTGTTACATCTAACTAAATGGAATTAAATCAAAACCTTTTAACATGGACACTGGTATCTGACAAAGCTGTTTCCAGTCCTCCTCTTCTGCGTTGCACATTACTCGGATCGTCAGGCACAGCCAGGGCGATGACTGTATCAATAAAAAAGATGTGATTGCCGTTTGCAGACGACTCTGTTTTGCTAACATCTTCTAAAACATCTGGCATACATCGTTCTCTGAAGAGGCTGGCAACTCAATGCGAATTGGCGATACGCGTGTGAGGGAGCATAAAATCAAACGCATAGTGTGCTTCTCGTTTTCTTTCTCACTGCACGTTGCTAATAAACGGCCTGAAGGCAGAAGTGCAGACATTCACATATCTCTGGATCATGTTTAATGGTGATAGAAAGTTAGAGGAAGAGGTGGATCGGTGGACTGGAAGTGGTCAGTCGGGTTCTGAATGAACTGGACCCCAATGCTCACTTATATTACTGATTCGTGGCCATTCTTGCTTCGATACCATGCCCAAGCGGCTGAAATAAGTTTTCTGAGACGAATTGCTGAGAACACGCCTCATGACAGAGCCAGCAGTCTACATATTCATAAACGTCTTGGTTTACTTCTCCATAATGAGAAGTCACCGCTGCGATGGTTCTGGCACACCTTACGAATTGTTCTACTACAGTAGGCGAAATAGCACGACTTATTCAGCAGACCGACTAACAATAACCTGGCACAGATGTCTCGAAGAACTCTATTCCAGACCGTAGTTATCTTCTTTCGAAGCTTAAACGCTGGCACAGGATCGAGAATATTCGAGACACTGTCAAACACGTCTGCATCCACTACTTCAAAAGACAAGCGGTTATTGGAACTGACTGACTGACGGGTTTCCTTCGCAAAAGGTTAAGCTTCCTTCTGTGAGGCAATGAATATTATACACATCTTTAATGGTTTGAATGCATATACTTTAATGTGGAACATTTATTCTGTAAGTAACGTAAATCATTCAACCTGTGTTTCCATACCCCTTTTTAGGTACCAATAAAGGTGCAGAATCACATGGAGAACGAAATACTGCAGAAACTGGATTACGCTCTTGAGCAACACAGCAGGAACGAAGAGTCCCCAGCTTCACTTCATTTCATTATTCATTAATGTTCATTGATTCATCCGCTTCGTCATCCATTTATTGCTTTAATCACGACGACTCAGAAATTCTATTTTGAATTAAAAGCTGTGAGCCAAAGGGAAGCGGAAACCGGACCCGGAGAAATTCTTACATATTTCAGGCCACCTGTGTATAGAAAAACATCCTTTTATTACAGATCATGAGTGAAAGACTGCAGATTAATAAATATTAATGCCGAAATAAAACATGTTGATATCTTTTCATAATGGCTTCTACCGGATTGTGCCGAAGGGAAGGACAGACTTCACAAGAAAAAACTGCAGATGACATTAATTTGAGCCCGCCACAAAATGGGGATAACGAAACTTTCTCTGTGAGGCTTAGATGGCCAGAATCAAGAAAATGTAGTATATAAATATTAACCGTAAATTAAACTTGCTAGACATCGTCGCCAGTCTATATAAAGGAGGATGTTTCTTCTTCTGTACCTTCTCTAATTTTCTATTCTACATTCAAATTTTAAAAAATTCCTATCCTCTCCCTCTACCCTTTCCTGTCTTGTCCTCTTTGCTCTCCTCCTTTCCTTTTCTCATTTCACCTCACCTCTCTTCTCTGTTCTCATTTGCTTTCATCTCACCTGCTTGGCTGTGCAACCTTTTTTTATACACGCACCGGAACATAAGCTGTTTGCTGATGCTTTTATGTCTAAGATTAAACGGTACTGCAAATCATAAAGTAGTACATACCTTGTTTTGCTCCTTGGGCCGTAATTATAGAATCTTTGCCGATGTGGCCAGTAACTTAAGGAAAAGCATTACCAGCGGTCATCGTTCATTTTTATAATACCTTTCAACTCAATGATCGAATGTTTTGATCCATATTCGTTTGACGCCATGCAGAAATAGCTTCCCTCATCCGTTTGGTCCACGTGGTAAATTGTCAGAATACCAAGAGTGCCGTAAATGTCGCTTTGGTTCAAGTGAATTGTCTAAAATAAAAATGACTGCATCCTTATTTGTAATGCGTATTCATAACGATTGTTCGCTTTTCAGATGTCTAAACTTGGTTACTTATCGCAATGAGTGTAAAACAGCGAAACTGTAGGATTATATTAGGGCAAAAAAGAAGAAGCAGAAAAATTACTAGAAGAAGGAAAAGAAAAAAATAAAAAAAGAAGAGGCAAGAGAAGACAAAAAATGGAGAAGAAATATAATAATAAGAGCAACAATAAGAAAATGAGTAAGAAAAAAGAACAAGAGGATTCCACAAAAGTTCGTTATCAGCACACTGCAGAACTTGGACAGAACGTATTACACAATTTAAAATAAAAACATGCCGAAACCTGGAGCTTCGCGATTGGAATATTTAATGATGTATACAGTAAGAGGTTACGGTAGCGCTGAAAATCCGGTATGAAATTTGAAACAGATGGCTGAAACAACGACGAAATTCGGGATCGACAAACCACTTATACTTTCAAAGAACATCTAAACGGGAAAAAGCACTCTGACTATAAAGGCGGATGAAATAATTTAAGGAGTACGTCCGTATTTACCTAGCATGAAATAAGGAGCAGTCAGAAGTGTACTTTACAAAGCCATGCGACAAATGTCAAACCAAACAGAATTTCAGTACAAAACCCTTACATGGAAGAGGGTCTACGGGGAAACGGGTATCCGGGAAAGTTAATTAAAGGGGAACAATGAATGGGAATAATATGGCTTGTCGACTGCGAGCGCAAATGTTTACTAAGACTGCAACTGTCTGCATTTCTTGTATTTCTGTCATTTGAGACTCGATCAGTTGTGCACCGGAAAAAAAACATCAGAACCGTTATCAGATCAGACGATAAACTATGATCTCTCTTGATGAAGACCAAAAGTAAGACAGAGACGAAATGACCGATGTAATTTATTCCTTAAATTGCATAAAATTCCAGAGTCTTACATAGGTTAAGATGTGAGACCATTACAGACGAGAATGGTAGAAAAGAGAAAAACAAAAAGGCAGCTGCGTAAGCAAAGGGATTCTTAGAAAAACACTCAGCAGCGGCTGTTCACTAAATTTCTTCCAGGTACAGTGTCGATCCAACCGTGCTGACTATGGTTTATAGCAAACGGCAAAGAACGATCCATGGCCAAAGCCTCAAAATCTAGGCAAGACTCAGTATGAAGCAGTCTGGTCCTTCCATATGGTGTAAATTATGTGCACTTCGGACAAAGAGGACGAAAAAACCTTGGTTATTCTAACACTGAATAATTCTTGCAGTTGACAAAGGTTGTTAACTTCACTCTAAATGTTTCACGTCGTATGATTTATTATGGAAGTTTTGATGGCGTACTCAAGCATGATAAATTTTTGTCATGATGTCGCCCGCTCTTGAAACTACAGAAAACGACTCTTGGATTTAAGATCCTTTCTAATTTCGATGACTGATATCAGATAATGGTGTTCTCGCAACTTAGATATTATCCATGAACGTTGCATGCAATTCCAGGTCACGTCATCGTTCAACAGAATAACAGATATTAGGTCGATTTTTTTTAAAGAGTTTTAATCTTAACCTTCAAAGTCCATTAGGTTCATATTTCTCATCAAAGCAGAGCATTCGCGATGAGAGGAGAGCCACGAGGGGAAGAAATAATGAGTAACTTGAAAAGATAGTAAGATCTGAGGGGGGA